GGGCAGAATCCGGAAATTAATGTACGTATTTAAAAAAACTTCGCGTTGTTGTTGATCCATGCATAATTAGGAGGGTGTATATTTCTATCTGCCAGTCTCTCCTGATATATTGTATTACATCTTGGGGCGGTTCTGCGAAAACCAATATGATTAGCCTGGAAAGAGCTCAGAGAGCCCTTCTTAAGGTATGTACATTCCTTTCCTACCGTTTTCCTACCCATGTTCTCTTTCAATATTGTGAGTTGTTGTCAGTACGCCAGCTTTTTATCTTGTACACAATTCTTAAGCAGCATCGTGCTATTGATTATCTTTCCCCTACCACTCAGTCCCGTCGTAATCATCTAATTGTACGCTCGTTGTCTTTTAAAACATATTATCCCCGTCGATTTTTCTATTTCTTAGGGCCTTTTCTGTATAATAGACTTCAACAGAAACTCAATATTTTCGCTCTTGATAGATATCATTGTAAACTCTCAGTAACATCTTTCTTGCAAAAAATTAACTATGATGATACCGAAAAACTACTACTCCCAATCAGATAGTTATGTCTCAATCCTGTTAACAATCTTATGAACTTATTAAGTAAAACATAAATTATACGGAGCGTTTCTGGAGGTTTGTAAATGTCTAGGTAGAAAACACAATATTGCACACACTATAAAATATCCTACTATCATTAATTGTAAGTTCTATTTTATCACTTTATCAAGTAAATACACCTGACTGATTTTGAAGCAGTAAAGTATCAATCTTCGGGCAAGTGCATATAAATTAATGTATGATGGTATTTAACTTAGGTTTAAATCGTGTTTTTGCGTAGTGTTCTTTTCTAGTAGTAGATTTGAAAGTTCGTTATACTAACTGTATAACTCTTTGCTTCTTCCATAAAAATGTGCTTGTAATTAACTTAATATAAATTTGTCTTGACTCTAGTACCGATCATTGTCAATCAAGTCATTATTTGGATATATGTGGTATGTATATTCTCCTACAGGTATTTTTATATGTAGAAACTTACTTTGTTAAGATAAAACGGTCACCTTACGAAGAGGAGGGTACTGGTGCACTGAGATACAAGCTTTCGCTTAGTTCAGGTACCAGTCTCTCGCAATCTTATGAAATCTACAAATATTGTTTAAATTATAAGTTGTAACATGTAGATTGTTGGAGAAAAATGAATAAAGTTATTATATTATTATTATTATAATTAGTTGTAATCATAATTTCCTTTATATATACATATATATACGCGTGAGCGTTGCTGCGTACATTATTGACTGCTTCATATCGGATCATCACATAGTTGGTATTTGTGTAAGCACAGGTATGAGTGACAAAATACAATACAAAAAAGATCAAGTGAGTGTGTTTGGTCAATTGCGTTACTCATTGTCTCAACGACAAGTTAATGATGGTTTAGTATTGTATGACTGGAATAAACTTAACGGATTAAACTGCCCCTTAGTGTTATATGATCATATATGCAATGTGTTCAAGAGTGTGTACGAAAATAGTCAGAAGTTACAGGTGTTAGGTAAGAAAAATCTATTTAAGCAACCGTGGGTTGATATTAAATTATTAAAAATGATTGGAAAGAGGGATAAATTATTTCATATATGGAAAGCATCTCCTAAAAACATGAATAAGCGGTTAGATTATACGCGGTGTAGGAATAAGGTAAATAAGTTGATTTTTTATGCAAAAAATAAGTACAGAAGGGGTCAAATAACTAATTGTAATGGTGATTATAGGAAAGTATGGGCGCATATTAATGAATGGACTGGACAGGTAAAGCCAAGTTTAGATAATGTAATAATTAAGCACCTAGGAAAATCAGACAGTATTTCCAATATTTGTAATAACTTTACGACAACTTTTACAAAGGAAATATTAGAAATTAAACATTATTGTAATATAAAATTTATGGACAGAAAAACATATGTAAAAGAAAGTAACGTCACATTTAGATACAGGAAAGTGAATGCGGTACAAGTGGAAAGAATCATTAGAAACATAGATTGCCATAAGGCACCTGGGGTAGATAAAATAAGAGCGCAAGACTTAAAATATATAAAACAGAAAATCTGTCCTTTACTAGCCAAATTTATTAATATGTGCATTGAGCAAGGAACTTATCCAGAGCAATTAAAAAAAAGTATCATACGTCCAATACACAAAAAAGGTAGTTATACAGACTATACTAATTATAGACCAGTAGCAATATTGTCGGTAATTAATAAGGTGATGGAAAAGGTCATAGTAGGTCAAATTACAGAGTTTTTAGAAAAGCATAAGATTTTACATGATGCGCAGCACGCTTTTAGGAAAGGAAGGAGTACTAGTACTGCTCTAAACTACTTTGCTGAAACTGTAAATACGAGTCTGGATGCTGGACTACAGGTTCTCGTTCTTTTTATAGACTATAAAAAGGCGTTCGATACACTTGATCATAATATGCTGCGTCAAGCTATGAGTGAATGTGGAATAAGAGGACCCATGAATGAATGGTTAAGAAGCTACTTGAGCAAGCGAACTATGTGTACAGCAATATCAGGACAATTAGAAGTGGCTAAAGTGGAGCTGGGTGTACCAACCGGATCAGTCTATGGGCCAGTTGGGTATATCATGCATGTAAACAGTGTGGCTAATGTTGTCCAGAGATGGAGGGTTTGTATGTATGCAGATGACATGTGCCTCATGTTTGCATCTAATAATCTAAATGAATTATCAGAAAATATCCAAGAAGATCTAGAAAATATCACTAAATGGGCACATGATAATGGAATTATTATTAATATTACTAAAACTAAATATATGCATATATACTCACCTTATAACCGTGCAGCTAGGACAATGAATCAGGACACATTTAGCATAATAGGTCTTATGAATGCCTACATAATATGAAATGTGCATGCAATTGTCAAAAAATAGAAATGGTAGAAAATTTCAGATACCTAGGCGTAGACATAGACAGAAACTTTAACTTCAAAATGCATATAGAACAGGTTTGCAATAAGCTCAGAAATGTCTTTTGTAAATTTTATCAGTTAGTGAAAATATTAGACAGACGGACACTACTAATGGTATATCATGCTCTTGACGAATCTTTAATTAGTTATGGTCTTAGTGTATATGGGCGTACTTATAAAACATATATAAACGAGATAAAAAATATACAAATAAGGTTACTGAAATATATAGTTGATAAAAACACAAGAAAAAAATGTAAACAGGATAACAGTAAATTATATAAAGTATGTAGGATATTGCCAGTAGACAAGAAAGTGGATTATTTAATAGTAAAAGAAAATTATTACAATTTGTGGGATAGACCCCTCATTGTCAATAGGTATAATACAAGTAGTGTTAGGGAAAGGAAGTTTATTATACATAAAGTTAAAAATAGTTATGGGATGAGAACAAATAAATATATAATACCAAAAATTCTAAACAAATTAGAGTGGGTAAGAAAAAATAAAAATGTCAGCATACAAATATTAAAAAAATCCTTGAAAGAAATTTTACAGAAATGAGAACACATTATTGTTATTATTATTTTGTATAAGCAAAAACTATGTATCAATAAGTACTTGAACATTATTTTCACATTACATTGTTAATCTTCACAGTGAACCGCTTGATATTTTGTAACTAAATATTTAAATCAAAATTCCTTTTTTCAAATTGGAAGCATAATAAAACTCTTTTGAATAATGCGTAAATTATGTATTTGTAACAGATAGTCACTTTAAAATAGCTTAGACATAATATGTTAACAGTAGCTTATAGTCATATTATTTGTAAGTTTATAACAGTAGTATTATTTAAGCATGATACTGTAAGGAAAACGAGCGTTGGCTTGCCGACAACCTGATGTTTACAGGTTGGCAAGGTATTAAAATATGAAAAAAAATATGTATCAATGATTAAATAAATAAATAAAAAAAAAAAAATATAATAATGTGCAATTATAGTACCAAATCAACAAAATAACACACATCGGACTCACAATACACACAATCCGCAACTTAACTGCTATCAACCTGCGCAGGCGCAGGCGCAGGCGACGCCGACCGCATCTTTACAGCGTAATTTTGTGCAAGATCCAACTCTCTCCGTTTGATTTAAGATAATACGGCTGTATGTTCTAAGATTGTGTCCGCTGTACTCGTTGTGGATATAGCGATATCACCTTATCTCGGAAAATCTTGTACATATAACATAAACTATGATAAGAAGAAATAAGAATTAGCAAGGGATAGAAAAATCTATGCTAGCATTATTCAACATGAAATTGGTAAATACAAATAAGAATCGTCATTTACCATGTCACCAGCAGTGTTTCCTGACCCATAAGTTTTTCAAAAGAGAGCATACTCTTTCCATACGGCAGGCAACATATGTATTTGTGAAATTTCAGGTGTTGTAGATGTCCACGGGCAACGATGATCATTACCATCAAGTGAGTCGTCTGCTGGATGTGATAATAACACCCCACTATGGAATCTATAGATGAAGGATTCCGTTAATGTAGCGTTTCCACATAATGATTAGAACAGTTCCGAGCGAACAAACATTTGTGAGCTCGGTAAATAGAATAATTTAAACAATGTTGCGTTGATTCCTTTGATGACTGAGCGCATTCGTACCCTGAGTCCAGTCAAAAATATCGTGCACGAACTCGTTCGCTCGCTCTAATGTTTGCATTTACCGAGCGAGCAAAAGTTTACTCGCTTAGCATTGTTTTGAGAGCTTAGCGGAAACGCTGCATAATACTTGGTCCATGGATTCCAAAGTGGGGCTTACACAGTACAGATTCCACGTTTGCCCTTCTGAGGATATGAGACTAACCCGACGATGGGTGTTTACGATTGCTAGTGGAGCCAGGACCAAAGACTGTGTACCGTGCAATTCGTAGAATGACGCAGTCACAGACGGTGAGATTGTTCTACTCCTGTGTCATGCTGTTCCAACTTCTACATAAGTACATGATTTTTATCATCAGCCTATTGATGCCCCCACTGCTGGGATACAGGTCATCTAAGATCAAGGCTTTGCTCCACGTCGCAGGCCCTGCGTACTGTTACGTACTATTGGTGCGTTTTAACGACCATAGGTGAAAAGGGGACCAACATCTCAATATTCTTTTCGAAGTACGGAGAAGCCTGAGCTTAAAAAAATGTTGGTCACAGGTCACCCATCCTATGACTATTGCAAACCGAACGCGATAACTTCAGTGCGATCGAGCTTCAAATAACAATACCAAAAAATTCGATTCCAAATAAGGATATTACAAAATAATTCATCATTTTCAGTTTCCGTTAAAACTTGAACAATATATGTAAATGACTTTTTACGGAAAATCAATCCCTGTTAGAAGAAACAGACCACAGAGACAGAGAAGTAACAGATCTAACAGAAGAGAAATATTAATATTTTCATTAAAATCACTACATAATGTTTCCGCATTAAAGTCGTGGTTATCAAACATAACCTTATATTATTAGGCTTTTCAGCTAAATACAATTATAACCTTTGAAAACATTTAAACATTTAAAATTTCTACTGACCTTTATTGATTCAAATCTTACGGGTAGTTTTTCTACACATCACTAACCTTTTAACAACCGGGTATAAGTAAGGGTGGTGACACATTAGCGGTCACCGGTTGCGCGAGCTACGGTCGTGCGACGAAGACAACATGGCGACCGCGGCGGCCGCTACGGCATTACACACTGGCTACAGAGCGGGTGCGAGTACCTACGATCTCGCGGCACGCGGGCGCGGCAGCGAGCGCGAAAGTAAACGATATCATGCAGACAGGAACCAGGAAGGTCAAGTTTACTCTTAGCTGTTAACTGTGTAAATAAGCACGTAGTGAAGAGTGTCCTTAGCAAAAGAAAACCTTCTTGACATTGCGTATTGAGATCAATTTCAACTGTTTGAATTCGATATTGGTGCATGCTTATGGTTACAGACTATGATGTTTTATAGTTATAGATAGGTCTAACACGCATCTAATTTGGCAATACGAAAGTCAGGTAATTGCCCGACTTGCAATCAGTCGCGGGCACGCTCTCTTGCCACGGTTCTGCTCCGCTAGAACGTGTGTTTTTCGAATTTTTTTTATAGATAGGTCCGACAAATTACTCCACCCCACGTGATGTTAAGTGAAAGTGAAGTACAGACGCGAAGATAGCTGATACAGCAGTTCTACCTGCAACACCAGCCATCCTCACTCTGCCGGCCTGCATGTTGCTTCTTCACGCCTCTTTTAAAGGAAAGGATTTTAAAGGTTGTAAGAGGGAGAGATGCATGAGATTGAATGAGTCTACTTTAGTGCGCTCCATTGGCGGCTGTAGCCAAGGTAAGTTGGGGAGGGGACTACTTGTGCAATTTTAAAATGCAATAATGTTGGCGTATAACTTGTTTATTCGTATATATATGCCATTGTTTTCAGGCTATCTTAACGCCTGTGGGCTGAGGCTTGAATAATTATTGCTAATATGATATTGGTTCCCTAGATCGCTTAAACATCCATTCATAATCAATCTCCAATCATGTTGTTATCAATAGATGTAGATTTTTTGTTTAAATAACACGCATTAGTGTCTCTTATTTATAGACCACAACTTGAATGTTACAGAATATTAATTTATCGATAAAAAAAACTCCAAGACTTTTCTAATAATAATGGCCGAGCCTAATTTGAAAATGTCTAAGTATTTATTACGTGACATATAAATTAAATCCCTTTTTTTCTATGGTAAATCAAATCTTAAATTAGAAATATTGCGAGTACGGAAAACAGAAGAATGCCAAAACGACTTATGAAGTTCCCTATTGAAATGTAGTATTTTTCGAAAAGTTGATATTCAATAAAAAATATTTACAGCTATTGTACCGACGAGACGACACTGGAAATAATGTACGAGTGTGGTTCTCTCGCGCTTTCACCGTTCACAGCATCTGCAGCAGTCAATCAATCTGCTCCCTCCTTCCTTTCTCTCCCACCCCTTTCTCCATACGAGTGAGAGGGACGGGGGTTCCCCCAGCGCGCAAGTACGAGAGGGACGCGCGCTGATCGCCCCCCGAGCAATCAATATATTACGCTAATGTGTCTGTAGTCTGTACGCTCATAATAATAGTCATACGAGAAGATGTCGTCATAACAGTGATTTATGCAGTGACATTGACGGTGGCTGGGGGATGTTGCGCTCCAACTTATGTCAATATTATGGTACTCTTTATTTCTAAGCAGTGTGAAATTCATTACTTATTGCTCATGTTTTCAATTGTTAGCATTAAATGTATTTTGTTGATAAAGTAATAAATAAAACAAAGAATGAAGTTACAAGTTGTCTTCATTTATTTGCTAAAGAAAAGGCCATTGGTGCCGATTCTTAAACTCTTCTATAAACTTAAAACTAAATTTAACATCAGTCTCGCCTTTTTATTTTGTATAGAGAATAACTGTTACACTGTTGTCAAATTTAACTTTAGGTTTAGAGAATCATGTCAGAAACGACACCATTATCAACTTTAATGAAACTTAAACAAATATTTAACCTCTCTTCTATATACATTAGTTTCTTATTTAATAAAAGTTGTTTATAGAAATGTGTCCATGGGAGTAAAACATATACAAAAACAATCGCAAGAAATCGATACATTTAATCCTCAAGAGATAAATATATTTCTCGATGGCTTATTCGATAAACGTTGTATCCACTCGATGTCAATGGGCTAATATTGAACTCCGACGGATTGGACAAACATTTTATTAGACAGAGCGTGGGAACGCAGCTCTCGGGGGATGGATCTGTACAATATGTACTGTACCGTAATATTTTTATCATATCCGAGGCTGCAATCAAGCTGCCATTAAATTAACATCTGGTGTTTTATTATTCATAAGGTTATAGCTGCACTAGACGGCCTACATAGACATAATCGTTTTTAAATGTAATTCTTCTGTGTCGATGTGATGTGTTGCGTTATTCTTTTGTTATCAAATGAACTTTTTTCATTAACCTTTTCATAATTTATTTTCGTGGCAAAAATATTGTTCTGTCATTTTCCGAGATCCTCTCACTCCCTTCATACCAAAATTCATTAAATCGGTTTAGCGATTTATAAGAGTGAATGCGTAAAAGGGTGACTGACAAAACTATACATGCCTGGGGGCCATTCGCCTAACAGAAATGCCTTGGAAAATGCTAACGCTTTCGATTTGATTTTGTTATTTCTGACCGCCGAAGGTTTTCAAATACCTCACGCTCATTTTTTTTAATATTGTTATTACCAATGCAAAAGAAAAAAAAGAGCGCGAGGCATTTGAAAACCTCAGGTGGCTAGAAATAACAAAATAAAATCGTAAGCATTAGCGATTTCCAAAGCATTTCCGTTAGGCGAATGGCCTAACCTAAATGGCCCTAGTCTACGTGGATTTTTTTCTAGTAAAACTTTTCTTTAGATTTAAACCACTAGCAGTTAAATTCTTAAAAAAATAAAAACATAACTATAATTGCTATTTCTTCTTTAAAATGTTTAATACTTGAAAAAGTATTCATTTGACATTGTGGGTTACCCACAATGCGAAGAGATGGCGCTGCCTTGCTGCTTAAGGGTGCGGCCAGAGTGCACTCAGATTCAGATTCTGAAAACAAGCGCGAGAAATAAACAGTGTAGTCGAAGGGTACGGCCAGAGTGCACTCCTGATTCAGATTCAGATTCAGACTCAGAAAACAAAGCGCGAGAAAAAGCAGGCAACCTGCTTAGACTACACTGTTTATTTCTCGCGCTTGTTTTCGAAATCAGAATCTGAATCTGAATCTGAGTGCACTCTGGCCGCACCCTAAGGCTAGGAAAATTTCGTCCCGGCCATCACGGCCATGGTAGCATAATTGGTCAGTGCATTCGCCCGGATTGCGAAGGGTGCGGGTTCGAGTCCCGTCCGCTACCTGGTCCGCGTGGTTTTTTTTTCTAGTAAAACTTTTCTTTAGATTTAAACATCTAGCAGTTAAATGCTTAAAAAAAATAAAAACAAAACTGTACATTTCAAAACCATTCACTCAAACATTGTCGTTGCTTTCATACTTAGTTATTCTGACATAATTTTATAGTTTAACTAGCTGACCCAGCGAACTTCGTACCGCCATAAAAATAGGGGCAGGTGGTAGAAGAGATTTAGGGTTGTATGTATTTTTAATACCACATTATAAAAAAATAAATACTGTCCAAAAAAATTTTAGGGATGTGTAACGTAGTGTTCTATCAATTTCCTGGGATAACATTCCTCCTAACCCATATGAGAACACTATGTTACAGTACCCAAATGTTTGAATTATGGCGCGAAGGCGCATTGTAAGGTTTCAGAACACTATGTTACAGGTGGAAAACCATTATCACTTAAGGATATGAAAAAATAGATAGTAGCCGATTCTCAGAACCACGGAATATGCATATAAAATTTCATAAATATCGGTCAGGCCGTTTCGGAAAAGTATGCTAACTAACATTGTGACACGAGAATTTTATATATAAGATTATATTCCCAACAACAAATAAATATCGGAACAATTAATTAATCAGGACCCTAATAGGTATTTAAGCAATTTTATCGCGCATTTGTATCGATCAAGAGAATCTCTCACAGAATTTCAAACGACACATTTCTGTTTACATTCCTCGAACCTTTGTCACGCGCGCGCTATATCCAGATTCCAGATGAATGTAATCAAAGATCCCCCGGAATAGCCTCGGAATTCGGAATGTGACTGTCAAGGTTGTCGGCGGTGCTGGCTCCGCACTCCCCACCCGCGAGGGAGACGGCCAGGGGTGCCAAATATAGGCACAACTCTATAAATAGAGGCCAGACACCAACAGCTACATACTTCACTTTACGACCTGCTAAACCAGGGATCATTGCATTTATTTATTTAGGAAATAACAATTTTGTCATTAATTAAACACATTAATAGTTTGCGCTATAACTTAATTACATGATAGCTCTTTAAATAAAAAAGTTTCAACGGTATAAATGCACTGATCAGACGACGCATCTTGAAAAGGATGCGAAACGTCAATAAATAAATAAATCAGTGCATCTATACCGTAGAAACTTGTTTTATTTAATGAGTGGTGTGCGTGAAAACCTAAGAAACAAATATGATCAATTGCACGTTTGCAGTCAAATACGCACAAGTTGATTTCCAAAATAAACGCATCCATTAAGTGTCAACAAATCAAATATTTTCTTGCAATTAAAAAATATCTAACCAATATTTACCACATCTATGCAGTTATCCTGAACGCCTTTTTTCTTTAACTTCTGTGTAGGTACAATAAGTTGACAACGGACCACTACATTATGAAGTATGGAATAGGTAATTTCAGTTGTAAATTGTGGGAAATGTACGTAAGTTAACGGGCGGCGTCAATTATCTACACGCGCACGTACGCACGTGCGCGTGCGTCGTGTACTTGATCCCTAGACACTGTTAATGTGTGTAGTATTAGTGCTTTGTGTTTTCTCATAATTCTATTTGCTTAAAGGCGAATATTTATTAAGATTTCTCTTAAAATTACAAAAAACACTCCATAGTCTATGTCCATAGTTAAAAAAATAAATAAATATTACCAACACTCTCACCAATTAGCTAGCCCCAAAGTAAGCACTGTAGGCTTGTGTTATGGGATACTAGGGTAACGGACAGAATACATATACTGATACGAATTCGAAACCGGGACCTCTCGAGTAGGCGACACCATGAAACCCGGCGTACAAACCACTACGCCACGGTGGTCGCCTGATTAACCTATCTGTAGAGCGATTCTGAAAATCTCACTTCCGATTTTGGTAACTGCTATTTTGCCGTTACATGGTTAAAATGTTGCGATGTCTATAGAAGCAGCCAGACAGTATAGGATATTTGAAATTTGACAGAAATCTGAATAAATGCGACATAAAAGAGATTGCATCTTACAGAATATCTATATATGCTGTTGCACTTTCACGCCTTAATCGCAGAAAATATTTAAAGATACGTATACAAGAGGTATGCCTGAAAAGAACATAATGCCACTTCTTGTCGAGAAAATAAAACAAATGTGTGGAAAATACTGGATGAAAGTTAGTATGAAGAACCGTAATGCTATGCAGACAAATTCATAAGCACTTATTAGCAAAAAGCTATTCATTAACTTAATAAAAATTCGACGGCTTTGCCAAAAGGAACCAAAAATAAAATAATTCCAAAAAGTTTATTGAAGTCGTGGGATCTCCTAGCTTTAAAAATGTTTTATGACACATGGTTTTTATTCTGTAGGTACTATTAAAGTGACGCAAACATCTAAATATGTTTAGGTATGGTAGAATAAAGCAATGCACATACAAATGCACAGACTGGAGAAAACAGTACAGTACATAATCTTGCATATGTGAATTTTCGCAATAAAACAATCGATTAACTTAACAAAACTCCCTATATCAACGACTGTAATAAAAACAATGTGTGCACTCGGCTCCGCCTGTCTAGACATGCGTAAATGCGACAATGGGCCCTACCACCAGCATATTTCAATAATATGCAATGGAACTACACTCAAATAAGTACCTATAATTAAATATAAAAAAATTACCTTCTTGACGATACCTTTATGGATTAGTGATGAATCACAAAATTGTTTGATTGTTATTAATCATCCAACAAAATCTAAATTCTCTGAAGTGACATAAAAGCTCTGTCACCTATCAACTGTTTTCGTTTTGCCTTCCCACCCAATATAGTTTAACCTATTTTTTATTTTCAGTCATATAAAACAAAACAAAATACAATGATATTACTATTGGTAGAATATTGTCAACCTGTCGTGTCCTGTCGTCTGCTCACGGTAATTAAGTAAGTAATTAAGTATTGTTTTTACATGTTTTTGTTGTTGCTAATGACGCTGTTCTGTTTATGATTTTAACGTTAACTCATTCATAATTTGTATGTATCAGCTGTTTAATATTGGACAGAAATGGGCGACTGAAAACTTAGATGCTGATAAAAGCTGATATTCCTAATTTTATTAGTAGAAATTTTGAGCATGTAGAGGGTTTCGATAATGTAATCGTTAAATCGTGAAATAAGCAGAGCTCGAGATCCTAGAGCCAAGCTTACCCGACATTATACCGAGGATATCCCGGACGTTAGCCTGTACGAGATTAGAATTGCTCTCAAACAGCTTAAAAACAACAAGGTGGCGGGAGATGACGGAATCACAACAGAGCTTCTGAGAGCGGGCGGTACGCCGGTACTTAAAGTTCTCCAGAAGCTCTTCAACTCCATCATCCACCAGGACAAAACGCCGAAGGCAGAATGGAGCAGAAGCGAAGTGATTTTGTTCTTCAAAAAGGGCGATAAGACCCTACTGAAGAACTACAGACCCATCTCGCTTCTGAGCCATATCTACAAGCTGTTTTCGAGGGTCATTACGAATCGTCTCGGTCGCAGGCTCGACGACTTCCAGCCTCCTGAACAAGCCGGTTTCCGAAAAGGCTTTAGTACCATAGACCACATCCATACGCTGCGGCAGATTTTACAGAAGACCGAAGAGTATAATCGGCCACTTTGCTTAGCGTTTGTGGACTATGAGAAGGCCTTCGATTCGATCGAGACCTGGGCGGTGCTGCAGTCTCTCCAGAGGTGCCAAGTGGACTACAAATATATCGAAGTGTTAAAGTAGAGGGGTGAGACAGGGAGACGTTATATCTCCGAAACTGTTCACTGCTGCGATGGAGGATATTTTTAAGCTTCTGGACTGGAAAAGACTCGGCATTAACATCAACGGCGAGTACCTGACACACCTTCGATTTGCCGATGACGTAGTCCCAATAGCAGAGACCTTGGAAGACCTGAACACCATGCTCGAGCATCTCAGTGACGCATCCCAGCGAGTGGGTCTTAAGATGAACATGGACAAGACGAAAATCCTGTCCAACGCCCATGTTGCACCCGCTCCAGTTAATGTTGGGAACGTTACACTTGAAGTTGTTGACCACTACGTTTACCTAGGACACACAATCCAGTTAGGTAAGTCCAACTTCGAGAAAGAGATCTCACGTCGAATCCATCTCGGATGGGCAGCGTTCGGGAAGCTGCGGAACATCTTCGCGTCCAAAATACCTCAGTGCCTTAAGACGAAAGTCTTTAACCACTGTGTGTTGCCAGTGATGACCTATGGCAGTGAGGCGTGGTCGTTTACTATGGGTCTCATAGGACGGCTCAAGGTCGCCCAGCGGGCAATGGAGAGAGCTATGCTTGGTGTTACCCTGCGTGATCAAGTCAGAAATGACGAGATCCGTAGGAGAACTAAAGTCACCGACATAGCTCGAAGAATAGCCCAGCTGAAGTGGCAGTGGGCGGGACACATAGCGAGGAGAACCGATGGCCGTTGGGGCGGAAAGGTTCTCCAATGGCGACCGGGTGCCGGACGACGCTCAGTGGGAAGACCCGCTACAAGGTGGACCGACGATCTGGTGAAGGTCGCGGGAAAACGCTGGATGCGGGCGGCGCAGGACCGATCGTTGTGGAGATCCTTGGGGGAGGCCTATGTCCAGCAGTGGGCGTCGTACGGCTGATATGATGATGATATTGCACAGGATGTCGGTCCGTCTGTCCACATGGAGAAGAATTTTAAAGAGACTAATGACTCTATATAACTTTATGATGTGATTATTTAATTTTTATTTTACCCCTACACTTTTTGTTCTATGTAAGTATTATTTTAATAAATCATTTTAATGTTGAGTACCAATTTGTACTCAATAAATCTATTATTATATTATTTGTCGTGTGAGGCGGGTCGTTACGTTCCCTAAAATATGGTTGAGCGAAGCGATGGCTGGTTCATGCGTCATGCTCGTGAACGGGTGCTGCCAGCGGAGATGAGTCTGCCCTAACTACTTTGATATTTAAGATGTAAATGTTTAATTACATCTATTATAAAAAACTTTGTTTGTATTTATACTGTGTGACACAGCAATCAAAATGGTGAACAATTAATGTATAATTTCACATTATATGTAATGAAGGGTGACTTCATGAATCATCTCTGAAGTCATTTTTCAACTTGACGACTCTGTAAATGATAAGACAGGCAGAAAAAAACAGCCCTTGCTGAGTTTCTTGCCGGTTCTTATCAGTACAAGGTCTCCCGCCGTAGATTTACGAACCGATGGCGTAGCTTCTAGACATTCATATGTGCTTGTAACAGCCTAAACTGAATAAATGATTTTGATTTGATTTGATTGTATTATTTCAAAAAACAGCTTAAACATAACGCATTGTGGAAAATCATTTGAGATTTAAATACATTATATATAAAATGGATTAATATTTATATATATATGCGAGTTTACATCTCATGGTAGGAGGTATGCCGCAGTGCACCACCCCGCCGCGCATCCGGTCGGGAGCTTTAATATTCAACATCAATCTGTATTCCGTTCTAAAGTCTGAGTGATTGGTCCGAAAACAGCCGTTATGTATGAATAAAAATTTAATCACAAAAAATCAAGCGACATTTTTTAGTGTTCAGGTATTGTAGCTCAGTTGAGATAAATAGTTTGATATTAATCGTTTTTTTTTAATTCCTCTGCAGAATATAAAGGAAAGAGACTCCTGCTCGAATACAACGTGGTAATGACAGGCAACTACGGAACCCTACACTACCTACTAACCCTAACTACGGAACGCGCGTGGCACGACACGCACTGGACCGTTTTTTCTAATCGATTTATTGTGGTTATAGAAAACTTCAATGTTTTATTAAGTATTCAACTGTTAAGTTTTCATTGTTTCTTATTTGGTAAATATCTTAAGAAGTAATTATAACTTTTTTTACATAGTCATTTGACCATTGAAAAGCAGTTTTGTTTAATTAGAGGTGTGCGTGTAAACATAAGAAATAGAAAAACAAAATTATTTAAAAATAAGAGAGATCTTGTGATCTCATAATGTACTTAGTTGCTTTATGAACGTTATTATGCCATAGAACATTAGGGCTTTCTGTTGTATACGTGTCATGCAGTGCAGCCGACACCGCACCGTACCGGGTCATGGGACCCGGTACCCGGCGGCCACGCCCGCACAGAATGGCATCCTTTGATCCGCGCCAACGCACACGATGACTGACGGAAGCGGACAGGAGTGGCTCCTGACACCACACATTAGTAGTGAAAAATCGGGAAAATGTGACACAAATAATATATAGAGATACTTCTGTGAAATGGTCTGTTCTATTGTCTAGTTACAAGTATGTTGTTTATTTCAACAGAGCTGTCAAAAGCTTAATATATGTGTATCATTTATGACAGGTTACCATCATAGCTTTGGATTATTATTATTCATGTTTTCACTCAAGTACGCAGTCTGTTGTTTATTGCAATAAACAAAATGTTAAGCTGGAACAGAAATAGAGACATGTAAGGGTTTTAGTGTAAAATTCTAGAATCCAATCCAAGTCTTAGTTTTATACGGTGAGGGCTTCCAAGTCGATCAACTATGCTATATTATATTTACTTAGGATATTAAAACGACTTCATGAAAAGAAAGCAACAAAAAATTAAGAAATAATACATTTTCTCCATTGAAAATAATATTTGTTGTCGGTGCCATC